CCACGGCCTGAGCGGGGATGGCGCTGTCCCCGCAGGACGCACCTCATCCTGCACGTGGCCAGGACCCAGGGATACAGCAAGGTCATGATGGGGGACAGCTGCACCCGCGTGGCCGTCAAGCTCTTCATCAACCTGGCCCTGGGCCGCGGCGCCTTCCTCGCCATGGACACAGTGAGTGGCATCCGTGGTCCCTTCCCCGTGTTGCCTGGCACAGCCTGGTGACAAATGTGCCTGCTTGGCACACGGGACAAGTTCCAGGGGTCCATGCTGTGCTCTACTGGCAAGGAGAGCAGAAGGGACTTGCTCTGGGCACTGTTGTGTCCCTCCCTGAGTGACCAGCCTGGCTCAGGGCTGCTGGTTGCTGCTGGGCCGTGCCGTGGGACCCTGCTGTCCCTCAGCACCCTTGTCCCTTCGCACAGGGCTTCCTGGACACCCGTCACGGCGACGTGGCCGTGGTGCGGCCCATGCGCGAGTACACGGCCAAGGAGATCGCCTTCTACAACCACTTCTTCGACGTCCCCACCGTCACCACGCCTGCCCTCCGGCCCAAGGTGAGGAGGGACCCGCAGCCTCTGCGGGCGCACGGGGCTGGGGCACAGCAGGGACCGGGTGGCCCTTGGCTCTCTGTGCCCCGTTGTGCCCGCGCGCTCTCCGCTCGCTCCCGCAGCGCCGCGAGAAGCCCAGCATCCACGGCGTGGTGGAGAAGTTCCTCCTGGGGCTGCAGGTGGAGTTCCCGTCCTCCATCAGCACCGTGTACCGGTGAGGCCCGGCCCCGTCCTGCACATGTCCTGCTGGGGGGCTGGCACGGAGAAGGGGGCACCCCCGGGGGAACCGGGGCCGTTTGCTGCCTCTCATGGGCCTGTCCTTGGGCTGCAGGACGGGTGAGAAGCTGAGCCCGGCTCCTGCGGAGGGCAGCCCCGGCTCAGAGCTCTGCCTGCTCTGCCTCTGCGCCCTGGACACCCTCACGGGTGAGTGGGGACCATGGCAGGGGCACACATGGGTGGCACTGGGGTGGCCACAGGCCCTGAGCTCCCTCCTGCCCTTGGGCTCATGCAGAGGAGGAGCTGGCCCTGGAGCCCACCCTGATCTTGGACGAGGAGGCGCCGCAGGGACCAGCTGGGGGCGGCTGCTGCCACACGGGGACACAAGGAAGCTGCTGCCAGAGCGCCCCGATGCCAGGGTAAGGTGCCGGGGACCGTGCCGAGGCCACACGGACGTCCTGGGGGCCTCGGCCACCCGCTCAGCAGTGTCTCTGCGCAGGGCTGGGAGCAAAGCCGCCCTCGTGCCGCTGCTCTGCTACGGCTGGGGCCCCACCCTCACACGCAGAGGGAAAAAG